GACTTTGCATGTGAAGGAATTCTTTTAAGCAAAACCAGTTTCAATATCACTGTTTTGTAAGAAAACATGTACTTGATAATTTTGATTCCCTGATTACATAAGAACACATCACTATATGTAATGTAATCTATGTTTCATTTTAATCATTCAGAAATCAGTTATAAAATAGTCTCAGTTCTCTCAAACTGGCTAGCCTAGATACAGACCCCAAAATAAATTTTAAAAAGCTGCCACCTATTCTCTGCTTTTAGTCAGTCAATGGGAAAGACGCATACTTCAGCTCCAACCTAAGCAACGTATAATGTTAGGCAAATGCTGATTTTAATATTAGAGTCAATATAATGCACTGACAGCAAAAAGAAAAAGGAAAAAAAAGAAGAATTACCTAACAAAGCTTAAACAAAACAAAATGTATCACAAGTAGCCCCCAGAACACAAAAGTTTATCGGTCTAATACAATTTAGGAGAACTACACAGCATAATGGTCTCTGAGGAAATCAAATAAATTCTGTGAAATGACTGACGTTTACAATGTGAACTTTGAGCTGCCAAAACACAATTTAAATTTTACTCAATTTGTCTTCTTTAAAAAAACAGAACGGTAAATTTTAGATTTTAGAAGTCTTTTAGAAGAATATTCCTACCGAACAAATTTTGGCACATGAAAGGATAGGATTCACTCATCTACAAAATTAACAGATGAGAAATATACCATTTATTTACAATAGTCCATGAATGAGGAATTACTCAAAGTAAAATTTTCAATCAAAGTTAGAATATATTATGGCTGCCTTTTGAAAGAGGAACTGGAATAAAGCACAGTAACATTTGGGGGGCTTTATATATAGCACTCCTTATGCTAAGTCAGTTCTTGGTTAAGAGTCAAAAGAATATCTGATAACATCTGAAAACTAGTCAAGCAAATTTTCCACTTAAATGGCTGGACACACTCAAGAACATATCCTGATTTCACTTTTCACTTTGTTTTCTTTAAGTTGCAACCCCCAAGTGGACAGGTTGGTCGGGTTTCTAGCTCCAACTTGCTAAATGACCTTGTTCAAGTGACTTGATCTCTCTAGCCCTCCTTACTTTCGTCACCAGTAAAGCTGTTATAGAAAACATGACATGCCAGTAAATTTGCTAATAAAGTAAAACAAAGAGTTACTATATTAGGTCCTATATCTGTATCTATATTATAGCTATATATTTATTTATCCACCCATCCTCACCCAAGAACACGCTTATTGATTTCTGAGGGGAAGCAAGGGGGAAAGAGAGGGAGAGAAGCATCAATGTGAGTATTGGTTGCCTCTCATATACTCCCTGACTGGGAACCGAACCCACAACTACGTATGTAAGTACCCAGACCGGGGATCTAACAGGCAACCTTTTGGTGTATGGGACGACACTCAACCAACTCCGCCACCCAGCCAAGGCTATATCTATATTATCTATATGTATACTATTTGTTTAAACTATCACAAATTAAAGGCCACTTTACCATATACTTAAGGCCTACAGTAAAAGAAACTATAATCCCTTCAGAATCTTCCCCAATATTTAATATTACTCTCATGATATAATAAATTTCTCATGCATTCACTTAAATTAATTTAAAATACCACTATAATAAATTATCTTTAACCTGAAAATATATGACTTTTTCTACATGACACATATTAAAAAAACACAAGAAACATAAAAGAACATTCATGGCAATGTCATTTATAACAAACTGTAGAAACAACCCAAACATCCAGCAATATTAGAATAAATGAATTGTCATATTCATTCCAAAGGAATAATATATTGGGTTTGCCAAAAAGCTCATTTGTTTTTTTCTGTAAGATGGCTCTAGAGGCACTTTTAGTTGTCTCTAACTTCATTCAAAACAATTCTGTTAAATTGTATTGTGACAGCTGTCATATCAGCGTGCACTTTAATAAAACTTATCAAAATTGGGGAATTTTTGTGTAGCCATTTTAATACTGAAGATGGAAGAAAATATGCAACATTTTCAGCATTTACCTTTATTAATTCAATAAAGGTAAAGATGCAACTGAAATCAAAAAAAAAAATTTGTGCAGTGTATGGAGATGCTGTGACTGATCAAACACGTCAAAAGTGGTTTGCAAAGTTTCGTGCTGGAGATTTCTCGCTTGACAATTCTCCACGGTTGGGTAGACTAGCTGAAGTTGATAGTTATCAAATCAAGACATTAATTGAGAACAATCAATGTTACACCACACGGGAGGTAGCCGACATAATCAAAATATCCAAATCAATAGTAATTGGTGAAAATGAAAAATGTGTCTTTTATTTTGCAGAAAAAAACACTCAGACTTTTTAGTCAACCCAATATTAATAATGAAAATGAATGAAGTAAAACTACATGCAACTACGTAGATGATCTTTCAAACATAATGCTGGGTAAAGGAAGAAAAAATACATATGATTCCACACAGTGATGGTCACCAGCAGGCCCACCCATGTCCCATGTCACCTGGTACCCCAGCCAGCACCCCAGAGCTGCGGTAGCATCGTGGGTGGCACCAGCCTGAAGGGAAGTATAGTCTGTCACAGTCTCCAGGCTGAGGTCAGTACACAACATGTGCTATGAGTCTGGTCTTAGGATCTGGATCTCAGCTCTACCACTTCAGTCCCTTTCTACGTCTGTGAGAGCAGCTGCCGCACGCCAGGAACTGCTTGATAAAGCTTGGAGACCCTGCTGAATGGAATGCTAACCATGGGTGCTAAAGGGGATGGCACCTCCACAGAGGGCAAGGACTTCTTCCAGTTGCTGCAAGGCAACACATGCCTGACTGTGCTAGAGCTGGGGCACAGCGGGAGCCCTAGCAAGAAAGGATGCTGTCACCTGGCCTGGGCTGGGAGAAGCCCAAGTACAGCAAGGGCATCATCCTCATTACGTTCAACACATACAAACAACACCCTCAAGATGTCTTTGGCAGCCTGAACATAAAAGCCACATTCTACGGTTCTATTCATGAGTTTTGACTTTCAGTGATGTGGCTCCAAAAGAGTACTCAAGAAGCTCCTTCAGTTGGACCTTCAGGTTGCTGCAAGGCCTGGGCCACATAGCATTGGAAATTTCCTCCACCCTTTATCATGCAATGGAGCTGGCTGAGCGGTGGCAGTGGTAGCAGCTAAGTTGCCACCACCCTTACTCAGAAGGGGCTCTGAGCTTCTGCCCCAACGTGTTCCACGAGACACATTGTTAAGGACTTTGACAGTATCAGGTTTGAGGACATGCAGGTAGTACAAACTAGATAACTCACCTGATTTCCCCCTGTTCTCTGACTGCACTGTGATAGGCCCCATCAACAGAATGCCTTCCATTCCGAGCCTATACCCTTTCCTGAAGGCTGCTGTCCCTTCCCAGACATTTTTCCAGCTTCCCACTTACCCTGAAAGACCACACACCTGTCCCCAGGCATCTTGACCCCACCATGATTGCTGGTACATCTAAATTCCTTACAAGTCTTCCCATCACTAGGCTACCCAGAACACTGAAGACAACCCTCTCTTACTTTACTTTTTCAAAAAAAAAAAGGTAAAATATTTGCCAAAAAAGAATACATGATTCCATAAACATTGAAGACACAAAAAGTAAACATTGCTGAGCAATACATAGTATAAAAGTGATAAAATTATATAAATAATTACCATAAATATCAGGACATTGGTTACCTGTAAAGAAAAGGAAGATTATATAAAGAGCATCTATACCAGTGATGATCTATGGAAATATGGATGTCTGCTTTATAATTATTCATTTTACTATGCACTTATATTTTTATATGGTGTTCATTTTACAATAAGTAAGTTCAAAATGACTTATTTTCTGAAATAATATATTTTTATAGAAAAGGAAGAAAAGGCTTTTCTTTTTTGCTATCAATTTTATTTTCTTGGTCTACATTTCAAATTTTTATTGCAATATTTTAATAATAAAGAGACAAATCAGTATGCCTGACTCTCCATAATCCTAATTAAGAGATTTCACAGGCTTTCCAAATGGCTATCAAAAAAGTACCAGGCCATTAAAGAGTGCAAGACCAGTTATCCTGTTAAATCTTTGCTTAGATCATGTTGTTTCAATCATTTTTCCTTCTTTTCAAGGAAATGTATGACTATTTTCAAAAGAAAATCTACCTTACCTACAGGCAATAATTTTATTCAGGTTTCACTCCAAAAAATATAACAATATTTTAGATCAAAAGTAGGAGGAAAAACACTTTTAATTCTCACACATTTTAAAACAATTTTGGGAGCGCCTGTGTCTGCATACAATGTGAGGGTTCATGGTAGGATGGACAATCACAACACCTGAGGTCCAAACCTATGTCATACGTGGTATTTTTCACTGTGTGTCTGGAAAATGTGACAGCTGGATGACAGGGTGGATATATAAAACAAGTCAGTCCCATGTATAAAATGTAATGTAGGGTGACCCATTTGAAATAGACCCAACAATGCCTAATTAAAATTACACTGGAGCTGTTTTAAATGTTTCCTTTAGAAAAACAATAATATAGGGAATTTTTTTACAAAAAAAGGTAACAATTTAAAACCTGACAGATTACACACACACACACACACTCACACACATACAATTTAGGAAATCCTAAAAGGTCCATCACCTAGAAGAATCCTTCAGGGTATGTTTGTTATAACTTTTAGATGCCATTAACAGGAAGCAGACAATGAATTTCAGAAGCAAGACTATCAGCACTCTCCCCGGTATCACTCACCATAGCCAAGTTTCTTTTGTTGTATACTGACTGTGTGTGTGAGTGTGCTAATGCTGCCAAGGATTCCCCTCTGTAGTGGGTCCTGCTAACCAGTTATTTGCCCATCTATTAAGTGCCAACTTTAAAAAATGACAGTGTCCAGCAGGGAGCAGCATTAGGACGTTCATAAGACTTAACTTGAACATGAACCAGACAGAAAAAAAAAGGAGAGGAAAAAAGCCCACTTACCATAGGTCTGTTCTACAATACATTCAGTTTTTGGGCTAACTGCAGGGCTTCCAGAAAAATGCATCTAAAGCACGTCTCAAAGCATATATGGGTAATCCATGGTTTCAGCATTCCTAAAGCAGAAATCAAAATTATATTAGGTGAAGGCTTCTCTCAGGCACATTGAGTTGAATTAATATATAATGTGACTATATGTCTCTCAGTTGTTAAGATGCATCTTCCTCTTTGGCAGGTCAATGGGATTTTGAATTCAGATATTCAAAGACACTTTGGATAATGATTTTAAAAGACCGAATATTAAAGTCCTTTATCTATTAGGGAATTTCAAGTAGGAAAACAAAGTAATTGGGTGACAATGTATGAACCAACCTAGAGAGAACTGTGTTCAAGCACTTAAAGAAGTTGATACCCAACCACATACAGTTCTGAAGTATCAAATTCCTCTACAACAATTAGCAAGTAATAGAGAGGACCTAACATTCATTTCTACATATCAGCATGAATATCTGAAGTTAATTTTAAGTATGAAAGGGCAGCAGAGAAGTAGTCTGTAATGCTGATAGGTTAAGACATTAGGTATTTACTGAATATGAATAAAAAAATCAATGTTTATGATGTTGTTGAAAAACCCTATGACCAGCTATAATATGACAAAGGCAAAGCCTATTATGCTTCATACTATTTTGGATATCAAACCTACATCTTATTCAACTATAATAACCCATGTCAATTCTTATGACTTAGAAAAAAGTTCTATCACCATTTTTATTTGAAATGTTAAAAGTTTGCTCTGTAGGTGTTTACCTGTAACATTTGAGAGTCAACACCAAAAACTAAATTTTTGCCATTAAAAGAAGGTAACAGCATATGAATATTCACCTTATAATATACAATTACATATAATATCTATCACATCAATATATTAACATATAAATATTTTAAATTTAATGAATATGTAAAAAGTTTCCTACTATTCTGACAAAATGGTGTGAGAATCTTGAATGTATGATATCAAGACTAAGTATCATTAATTTGACTGAAACTGAAAAAGACACTCGTGTATTAATCTTCTACCCTTTATCATTAAGCTCTTCATAGCATCATTCTTACCAGCTGCTCTCCTTAAAGTCTTCCTCTTATCCTATTTCATGTCTTTGCTATATTGTACATTGCACTTTTCTGATACTTACTCATTTCTACCAATCTATCTTCCCCCTCTTTACTGTTTCAACTCTAGTTGTTTTATTCAATCTCCTCTGTTTATGACTCTACCATCCTTTTTCTTTTTATCTTTGGACGCTTAAAAGTGAGATTTTTTTCCTTCTGTAATACATCTGCTTAAATATACTATTTCACCCATGTACAGGCACTGTGCTTGATCTTGACAATCTCATGTGATTGAAAGACTTAGCTAAATATACTTAAATTACATTGCTGCTACTTGCAAAAGTATTTCTCCTCTGAATTATTTACTATTTGAAGAACTCATTAACCATTTTGGAATTAATCCTGAAACACCCCAAAAATTCAAGGAAATCTAACCTCACAAATGCATTCCAGTCAATTTGGGATGAACACTATTCTAATGAAAACGTGATTTAGAACCTTACTACATCAGTGTGAATACTGAGTAATAAATATTTTATTTAATATTCATTTGATCATGCACTTGTGTATACTATCCTCATTAAAAAGCAAGAACACACTAAATAATGCTCCATTTCTAACATATATTATAAAGTCTGAAAAAAAATGTTTTACCTATTCAGTTATCTCCAATATGAACATTAATTTGAACAGTATATTGTGCAGCAATCTCATAATAAAATGTGCTCAAACTTTGAGATTTTTAAAAATCAGAAGATTATATAACACATTTACAATATATTTACCTAAAAAGAGACTGTACTATGTTGAGTAGATTATGATATAAGCTCCCTTCCCCTCCCCTGCCCATTCTCCCAAATTCACATCCATCTGGAACCTAAGAATGTGACGTTATTGGGATATAGGGTCTTTGCAGATATAATTAAGATAAGGATCGAGAATGCAAAAGAAAGCCCATTATGGAAAACAGAACAAGTAACTATGGAGAAATCAGAAGTAATTTAGGGAGAGAATAAAAAGAAAAAGAATTCTATTTAACATCCTCTGATATGTTAAATAAGATATTGTACATATACAACAAGAAGGGTATGAGAGGGTAGAATTAAAGAACAGAATTTAAAGAAATTTTAAAACAGAACGCCTGTCTTATCAACATCTCCCTTCACACAGAAAAAATATAAATTGGAATAAAAGTTGAACAAATACAGAATAACAACCCAAGGAGAGCAATAATTTCCCCAAAAAAGTTGCAGAGAAAGAGACTTCTCTCTCCCCTCCCAAAAATACACACACACACACACACACACACACACACACACACACACACGAAAAAATAATGGGAAAAACCTAGGTAATACAGAAAAAAAAAAAAAGAAGAGGAAGAAAAAAACATATATCCCTCTAGCCACATCTTTTCAGAGGCTGTCAAACTGGGGCCCATAAGCCAAATCCAGCCAACTCCATTTTAGCAAATAAGGTTTTACCAGAACACAGCTATGCCCATTCGTTTACATGTTGATGGCTGCATTTGGGCTACAACAGTGGTTAAGTAGTTGCAACAGGGAGTATATGGTCTGCAAAGCCTTAAAGATCTACTGTTGAGGCTTTTACAGAAAAAAGTTTGTCAAATCTTGATATAGAACTATGTTGTCCAATACAGTAGCAACTAGCCCAACGTAGTGTTGAAATTTTAATAATTAAAATAAAATTTAAACTTCAGTTCCTCAGTTGTATCAACCACATTGCAAGTTCCCAATAGCCATGTGTATTTAATGGCTATTGCAGTGGAAAATGTAGATACAGAACATTTTCATCAACACAGGAAGCTCTACTGGACAAGACTTAGCTGGAACTGTATTTTAATTACTGAGTTTAAAAAAGTGATATAGTGAAAAACAAACAAAAAATACTTAAGAGAAGCAGAAAGATTAAATTCAGAAAAATAGAAATTATTAACATTAGAAAAGGAAATAATGCATAAAATCTAAGATACCATTCTATGAAAATACCACTAAAATACAATTTTTAAATATTTCAAAGTTATTCAGAGAGAAAAGACATGAATTGAAAGAAAATCCAAAGATAAAGATACAGTATTAAAAACTAGAATCTAAATATCATCATAGATATGGAATATAAAAGAATTCAATGTACAGAATACAATTAATGCTATCAAATTTGAAAATTACAAAAAATTGCTTAACAAGAAATTATAAAGCAAAGTAAGGTAGAATTAGTAGTTAGAGCAAGAGCCATGAACAGAATGTTTCATGAAAGTTGTATAATACATGGTTCCAATTTAGTTTTGAGCTGCCAGAATACCATGAGATCTTGTGGTAGCCTCCACAGTATCTGTTACATGCTTTACCTGCACTGACACAATAGGAATATGAACCTTAGGTCTCAGAAAAGCCACTGAAAGACCAACCAAAGGGGTACCCATTTTTCTTACGGGGTCCTAGTTGCCTACCATGACCATTGTTTCCCGGCGTAGGTCCTTTGTTACCTTTAATAGGTCACTGCAGTCTTTCCACTGTACCTGAAGACTTCTAGGAATATCAGATTGTTGGAATCCTAGAAGAAAAATGGTCCCACTGTGTGGTTACTTGGGTGATATACATGCTGCTTATGTAACTCCCAGACTGAGATTTTATATAGCTGATTTCATTTTTTTGGTGAGGGAAAACATCTTCATTTTTTTAGATCCTTTATTATAGAAAAGTTTGAGGGTTACAGAAAAATGAAGAGTGAGGTACAGAAATTTTCGAAATACTCCTGGCCTTACACATATATAGCTTCCCTCATTATCACTCACCAGATGGTATTAGGTTGGCCAAAAAGTCTATGTTTTTTCCCACAAAATAAAAGACACGTTTTTCATTTTCACCAATAACATTATTGATTTGGATATTTTAAGTATGTTGGCTATCTCTCACATAATATAATGTTGATTTTTTTTAGCTGTCTCGATTTGATCACTATCAATTTCAACCGGTCTACTCAACTATGGAGTATCGTCCTGTGAGAAATCTCCAGCTTGAAACTTCACAAACCACTTTTGACATGTTTCCTCAGTCACAGTACCTTCTCCATACACTGCACAAATCTCTGTGTGTGTGTGTGTGTGTGTGTGTGTGTGTGTGTGTGTGTGTGTGTGTCGGCTGCATTTTTACCTTGGTTGAAATAATACAGCATAAAATGTTGCATATTTTCTTCCATCTTCAAAATTGAAATGGCTATACAAAAATTAACAAATTTTGGTTGTTGTTTTTTTTTAATGCACACTGATATAACAGCTGTCATAATACAACCTGACAAAATTGTTTCAAATTAAGTTCAAGACAACTAAGTGCTACTAGAGCCATTTTATGTAAAAAATCAAACAAACTTTTGGACCAACCTAATACTTTTTTTTTCTAAATACCAAGAATGAACTTAAACTGACATATCATAATCACCTAAAATCCATAATTTCTATAGGGTTCCTTTTTGGTACTGTACATTCTATGGACTTGGACCAAAGTATAGTTACATAGATCCTTCAGTATAATAGCATACAGAATATTTTCACTGCTCCAAAAATCTGCACTCTGCCTATTCATCTATCCCCCCAGCCACCTCTGGTAATCAATGATCTTTTGTATTGTCTCCATAATTTTGCCTTTTCCAGAATATCATATAGTTGGGATCAGTATGTAGCTTTTACAGATTGGCTTTTTATACTTAATAATTTGCATTTAAGGCTCTTCCTTGTCTTTTGATGGCTTGAGAGCTTACTTGTCCTTAGCACTGAATAAAGTCCATTGTCTGGATGTAACACACTTCATTCACCCATTCACCTACTGAAGGATATCTTGGCTGCTTTCAAGTTTGTGCAATTATGAATAAAGCTGCTATAACCATCCATGGGTACGTTTTTATGTGGATATGTTTTGAAATCCTTTGGGTAAATATCAAGGAGCACAGCTGCTGGATCATAAGGAAAGGGTATATTTAGTTGTCCAAAGTGTCTTCCAAAATGCCTGTACCATTTTGCATTCCTGTCAACAAATGAGAGAGTTCCTGTGACTCCGCATCCGAGCCAGCATTTGGTGTTGTCAGTGTTCTGGATTTTGGCCATTATAATAGGTGTGCATTTGTATCTCAGTGTTGTTTTAAATTGTATTTCCCTGATGGCACATGATGTGGAGCACTTTTTTGTATGCTTACTTGCCATCTGTATCTTCTTTGGTCAGGTGTCTATTAAAGTCTTTGGCCTATTTTCAAATCAGATTGTTTTCTTGATATTGAGTTCTTTGTATATTGGGGATAACAGTACTTTACCAAATGTATCTTTTGCAAATATTTTCTCCCATTCTGTAGTGTTTCTTCTCATTCTCTTGACAGTCTTTTATAGAGAAGCTATAAATTTTTATGAAGTCCAGTTTATTAATTATTTCTTTTATGGATCATGTCTTTGGTGTTATATCTAAAAAAAAGCATCACCATACCCAAGGTACTCTAGGTTTCCTCTTATGTTATCTTCCAGGTGTTTTTTAGTTTTGCATTTTACATTTAGGTATATGATCCACTTTGAGTTAATTTTTGTGAAATGTGTAGTAAGGTCTGTGTCTATATTCTTTCCTTTTTTTTTTTTTTGCATGTGTATGTCTAGGTGTTCCAGAACAAATTGTTAAAAAGGTTATCTTAGACCATTGAGTTCCCTTTGCATAATAGTTAACCATAGTTGAGTCTATTTCTGTGCTCTCTATTCTGTCTATTCTATGCTCCCAGCACAGTTTTGACTTCTATAGCTTCATAGTAAGTATTAAAGCTTGGTAGCATTAGTCTTTCAGCTTTGTTCTTCTCTTTCAATATTGTGTTGGCTTTTCTGGGTCTTTTGCCTCTCCATATAAACTTGAGAATCAGCTTATAAATATCTATAAAGTAACTTGCTGGAATTTTTATTGGAATTGCATTGAATCTATAGATCATGTCGGGAGGAAATGGCATCGTGACAACATTGAGTCTCCTATCCATGAAAATGGAATGTCTCCATTTACTTAGTTCTTCTTTGATTTTGTTCATCAGAGTTCTGTAGTTTTCCTCACATAGGTCTTGTACTTTTGGTTTAGATTTAAGCCTAAGTATGTTGGTAAATTGTATTTTTTATATTTCCAACTCTGCTTGTACATTGTTGGTATATTGGAGCTGATTTCATTGTTGGTATATTGGAGCTGACAGGATGGTGTGATGGCTTTACTAAAATGTGTAGGTGGAAATGAGATTTGAATGTTACATAGAAGTTAACTAGTGACCTTTTGGAAGAATGGAACATGGTGAGTACAGGAGAATAAATGAATGTCAGAGTGCAGAGGAAGGGAATTTCTAGTGATGTGCTTACAGAAGCAGTTAGAGGGAACTACGTACAGGTCCTTAAGAAGTTGCGTTTTTGTATTATATGGTCATACTTCCCAATTGAAAAGATCAGGGTGGCTTCTGAATGGATAATGTACTGCAAAAGAACCAAAGATGAGAGCTAAGTACACTAGAATAGACTAGAGAGCTATTAAGAGTTAAACTCCACAGATCTTGGTAATGGACTGGATATGGTAAAATGCAGCTTGAGAGAGGAATTGAGTGTAGTAAATGAAGTTCCATAGCTTAGGAAACAAATTCTACAAATTGTCCTATCATTTAATGATACAAAACACTGGGGAAAGCTTAGTCTGGGACATTGTGAGTTTGAGGTTCCACTAAGACTTTTAAGTGACAGATTAAGTATCTGAATTTATGATTCTGGAGGTCAGAGCAGCAATCTGGACTATAAGTGTTAGACATTGATATATAAATTTTAAATGAGGTCCTGGAAGTAGATGAAGGTAAGAACATGGAAAAAAGAGAAAATGGTATTAAGGACTTCATGATTTAATGGCAGAAAGCAAGAGCCTTACTTTCTTTTACACCCTCTAGCCATTGAATTGTCCCTCCTTTCTAACGTCAATCCCTCTCCTGTTCTCCAGGTCGGATTCCTTCTACTTCATTCGGGTCCTTTTGTCACTTGTCTAGAGTTGGTTTCCAGTACCTTTATTTTCTGTCTCTCTCAAACAACAAAACTCTACCCTTGAATTTTTGTCAACATCCTCTATTCCCCCCACCCCACTTCACAGTAAAATGTTCTAAAATATAAAATGGTCTACTTTTATAGAATATTCGATTGTACTGGCCATTCAATTCTAAATACAATTATATGACTTTTCAGTTTACTACTCTATCAAATCTGCCCTTAACAAAGCCAAAAAAAAAAAAACCAAAAACCTTTATTACTAAATCAAATAATCACTTTCCAATTCTTATTTTCTGTTCCTCTGTCCAGCTTTTAAATGTTTATATTCACCAAAATTTATTCCTAGTTCTTTTTTTCTTCTCATTCTAAAGTATACATTTTCTTAGTGAGTTTATCCATTTCTTGGGGTAAACTCTTCCATCATGTGCTCATTAATTTCAAATCCATGTTTCATCTAGAGATCCCTCTTTTCACATAGCTCACTGTATACCAGATATTTCCCCTTGGGTTCTCCCAATTAAACACATTTTTAAATCCCTCATTTTATGATCTCCCATTCCCTAAAACAACGAACATAACTACAAAATTCTGCTTCCTCCTTAATTCTTTATCCTCTGCCACCCACAAAGCTGTTCAAGGCAGAAACCTCTTAATCATCTTTGATTCCTCCTGGCAACCTTCCCTGATCATATCAATTCTACACCTTTTAATAATCTTTTTTTTTTTCACTGCTTTTAAAGAGAGAAACATCGATGTGAGAGAAACATCCATTGGTTGCATCTCATATGAGCCCAGACCGGGAATCGCATGTATCCAGACCAGGAACAAATCCACAACTTAGGAATGTCCCCTGACCAGGAATTGAACTTGCAACCCTTCAGTTACAGGACAATGCTCCAACCAACTGAGCCATACCAGCCACTGCAACTCCTTATAGTAGTCTCTTAATTCATCCCATTCTCTTTATCCCATTCACATTTTCACTCCATCCATTTTCTTCTAGCTTATATATAGTCAAAACATAACGATCAAATATGATCATTCTGTCATTCCTTAAAATTTTTGATTCCTCATTTCCTATTATCCTTAAGGGAAAAAAAATCTACAACCTTCAGAAAAACCAATTAGACCTTCTTCAGTCTCCTCTTCTCTTACCACTATGTATAAATGATGAGAATTATCTGCACAGAAGCAATAAGAGTAGATTTATTGAAGGAGCAATCTTTCCACTCTCTGTAATAGTTTCCGTATGGCTTTCATTCTCTATAAGGCTTATATTGTCTAGACATCCTTCAAAATTCAGGTTAAACTTCCTCTTTAAAGGAAACTTTCCAAGGCTCCTTTTAGTCCAAGTTAGGTATCCTACATTTGTCCTCCATAGTACTTACGGCATGCTTTATTATTCTATTTACCCATGTATCTCCCCCACCTGTGCACTCAGGGAGGGTGTAGCCTAAGTATTCTTTCTCCTGTAACCTAAGCACTTAGCACATTCCCTGGGGTTTATTAATTAATTGTCATTAATTATTAACACCATACCTAAGCATATACCCTTTTAACTCTTCTACAAATATTTCATTTACTCCAATGTCTTATATTCAACTCTACATACTGGCAAACTCTAATATTTGGGATTATTTGCTTTAAGAGCAAAGTTTTTATCTTTGTAAAAAAAATTAAGATAAATTCATTTATTCTATGATAATGTTATACTATACCAAAGAATAGCTTAATTTCAGAAATTCCTTCATGTACATACATGTCATGCTTCCCAAATTCTATTTGAAGTTGAAAAACAATTTCTCAGTTCTAGTAATAAGGCAAACAAAGCACTACACCACCACCTTTAGAAAACTAAAGGGTAAAATAAACAGAGTAGGAGACAAGGGAATATGAAACAAAAACAACCTATTAAAAAATTAATATTTGCCTTGACTAGTGTAGCTCAGTTGGTTGTCAACCCACAAAGCGAAAAGTAGCTGGTTCCCTAGTCAGGGCACATGCCAGGGTTGCAGGTTCTGTCCCTCACTGGGGCACAAATGAGAGGCAACTGAACAATGTTTGTGACATTGATGTATCTCGCCCTCTTTTCTCCCTGTCTCTTAAAATAAAAATAAAATCTTTTTTAAAAAATCAAGAGCAATAAAAATATTCAAGATGTTATTATTTGATTATTAAACTGCTTTGTTACTTTTTGTTTTTCTCTTCTTAGTACTTATTTACTACAGGACAAAATTAGTACACATTGTTCAATGTAGTCAAGTGTTATTCTGTTTTCTAATATGTTAATCTTTTCTCTTCCAAATGAGAACATTTTTACTTCCGTAGGCCTAAAATGACAAGATTAGATCTAAGCTGACAGTAAGCACTCAACAGCTATTTACTAAATGACGTGGTTTATAGATTTATACTAGCAAAATGAAAGTACCTAAACCTCATCGAGCTTTCCAGTTGACATATAGCAACGTGTGATTCTTTTTCCTGAAGATTTTTCTTTAAAAAAAAAATAAAAAAAAAGACCCCCCCCAAATGAAAAACTCCAGTCACTGTTTAACAATACTAATCTCGATTTATCAAATAGAATCTGCCAAAGAGTTTTAATGGGTCACTGAAATTTAAAACAATTCAACGGCAAGAACTGCAATGAGGTTTGGATGTATTTTGAAAGTATCATACATCACTGTCAAAACCAGTCATAACTTTGTAGAACAGGCAGGCGTTGGGAGCCTTTTTTAGTTTAGCCTTGTCAGTCATTAATGCTTTTAAAAATCACCACTCCCCCCACCACACACACACCAGTTTTAAGAAAAATTTTAAATCCTAAGACGCAGCTCTAAATTGCATTGCCCTCCCCACCCCCGCATATAAAATTCCTATTCTAATAAGAAAGCTCTCAATTCGGAGTTCACTAGAAAAAGAAAGTACAAATACATCTAATCTTATCAGTTTTTTGGAAAGAAAACTCAAGTATTTTGTTACTTGAAGGTACCTTAACAGCAAACGACAATTAAATGTGTGAACAAGGTTGTCAGAGTAACACTCGTCATTCACACCGCTTATGGAAAGGCGCTCCAAGACTTACAGAAACACTAATTAAAACTAACGAAAGCTTCTCGCGGGGACTTGTCAGAGAAGTACCTTTTATCATTTGCTCTCTGAATCATAAGAAAACCAAATCGCCTCAAAGCTCAATAGTTTTCACTCCAAGGTCTGAATCCAACCCACCAGCCACGGACGAACTGAGCCCAGATTACTCAGCGAACAATTCACTAAGGTGAGTTCCAATTCCTTCAATATAACACAACCATTCAAAAAAAAAGGCTTGATGGGGAGACAATGAATTTTCAATCAGAAATCAGAAGAGAAAGGGGAAATGTATCTTTCCTCTTTACAAACAGACGAGCCTAGTGCCATGTCCTAATGGCAGCTGCTTGATATATCGCTCCACCAATCGTTTCTTTAACTCAACGTGAATGAAGACACTCAAAACGAGAGCAACGTGGAATGATGTTACCCACCTCTAGCCCCAAAGAAACAGGAAAGACTCTAACTCAGGACTCAGGTGGGCCTTTTCACCTGGGTCCGGCAGACGTCCGCCGTCCTTACGTAAGCGCACTTTTCAGCAATACGCCTTGCGATTGGTAGGCTCGAGATGGATATTTCAGTCCTATTGGCTACGAGGGCTGCAAGGAGGCGGGAGTTTGGGGCTGGCTGTGACAGACCCGCTGCTTGAGATCCCAGAGTTTCTATTGGGTCAGCGCGGGGAGCGCCAAGATGGCGGCAGTGGGAACCTGCGGCTCCGGCACCGGGAGTACTGGGTCTGTCGCGCCAACAGCCACCCAAAACAATGTCACCAGTTTCCAGAGGAGGGGTCCTAGAGCCAACGGTACCGACAGCGGCGGCTCTCGACTGGTGTCCATCGCAGGCACACGACCGTCGGTGCGGAACGGACAACTGCTGGTATCAACCGGGCTCCCAGCCCTGGACCAGCTTTTAGGTCGGTTCAGAACTGAGATCTGGGCTCAACAGAGGGAAAACTTAGGGAGGGGACTTGCTGGGGAAGCTGCCCTGACCCCACATCTTTCTGTGGCCACCTCGGACCTGTAGAGGGTAGCATGGTCTGATCGAGATAGAGGGGAGGAGTGGTTGCATGGAGACGTGTAAATGCTGTTAACTAAGCCCGTTCTAGTGCTCCCCCCGCCAGCCTTTTTCTATATTACGACGGGACCTCTACGTGCTTTTACCTTGGTCAAGGGAAATTATTAATGTTTGGAAACTGTTTGGCTTTCACCTCTAGAATTCCCTCCTGGTCTCCTGCCATCGTTCGGGTTAACGTGCAGAAGTTTGTATCATTGTGAGAGATGGGTTTCATTGTAAAATGCTGAAAAAAGTAACTTCCCGTCTTTCACCGCCAGGCCGCTTATCCCCCGGTTCTGAATCTTTAAAAAAAAAAAATCATATTGGCTTTAAGAGAATGGATATTAACGGTTTATGTGGATCCAAAGTAGTAACAGCCTGTTGTCGATATTGACAGTCGTTATCTGTATCTACATCTGCGTTAAATACATGTATAGATGCTTTTGTTAGATTTTTTTCTCTATATTCTTTGCCTCCAATAGTTACATTCCAAACGGCATATTCCAAGTTCACATTTTAAGGAGAAAAAGAAGTGGAGTTCTTAGGTTTTTCTATATAATCTCTGGAATTTTTAATGACAAGCCTGTTATGGATAGCTTGTTTTTATCAACTGTTCTATTGAAAGGATTGACCAGATTGAATTGGGAGGACAGAGCTTCTGTGTTAATAAAGATTGTAAATTAGTTAATTCCTATCTGAATGCTGCTTCATTAAAAATGATGTGTTTGTATTTCATAACTTTTTAATAGTATGTGATGTGTGTCAGTTAAATCTTGTACATTTGCATAAAATATTAGAAGTGTCATTGCTTGTCCTTGTACTTCACTTGACTTTTTATTTCTGTAAACCCCCACCCCCAAGGTTTAACGCAAAGGAAAGTGACAAGTAACCTCTGAGAAAGAGTATGGTATCTTGGCCTCTGTTCATTCATGTCCTTAACTGGGTCCTGGTTATTTCTACATACGTTTATGTATTTTTATTTAATTGTGTCAAGTCTGTTGCCTTCCTAAATTGCATGGTACTATGAATAAAAATGATTCAGAATATCTAGTTAGCAGATATTTATTTCATCTTTATTTTTCCCTTGTGAATCTTGGGAGCTGTTTTCAAGTTTGAAGTTTAAATACAGGATCACACCCAAGTGTGATTTTATATATCACATATATATAAAAAATATGTGGTTATATATTTTATATATACACGCGTCTGTGTGTATAAATTCGATGGGGATATGTAATTTCACACACTTGATCCTGAAACTCGCCAAACTAAAAGGTCATATTTCCTATGTTATGCCTTCAGTTCCTCATTAGAATAACAAAATATGCCTAGCACAGCTGCTGTTGCTTAGTAGATTTTCAATAAGTACTTGATTGGAAGAAAAATAACGTGTAGGGGGGAAAAAAACTGGACAAGAATTTAGGAAATAAGTAAGATGGAGGTCTAAAAACAGACTCAGATTAAGTGACATGAACAGAGTCACAAAACCAGTGACAGCCTGGACTAATCTTTAGGCTCCAGATTTAGTCCTCTGAAAATGCTACAGCTCTTTCAAATTTTTTAGAATGTGTTTCAAGTGGTTTTAACCATTTACTGAACTTGAGACTAATGATTTAACTATAGTCCCTTAAAACACCCACCAAAAACAACCCAAAGCAACTTCCTCGTGTTTCTACAGTTATATAAATAACGAACTGTATTTTCAGAAATTTCCAGATTTGCTTGGGGATGGGGACTCTAGTATTTGTGACAAGCTTTTGCTAAAAATTAGTGTTCATTAAGATGTTAAAGTATCAGTTTTTGGATATTTTGAAATATTTTTACATGTATGTAGTTAATCCTCAAAGTGCAAAGTAGAAGTCATTATAATAGAAATTACTACATTTAGAATAATAAATATGTGCAGAAGTGCTTCAGTTGTTTACTTCTTGACACTTGTATTTTGATGTTATATTTTGTATGGCCCTGTGGAGCAAACCCTTTACATTTGTTTTTCATTAAATCAGTATTTGAAAGTGAAACATTTGGCTGCTACTGTGTATGCCCATAGGTGTAAGCAAAGCAGATTACATTGTTACTCAAATGTTACTTGACTCAGACTGTAACAAGCCTAAGATGAGCATATTGTGGGAAAATATAACACTAGTAGGATGTTACAATATTAGGATGATGAAACTATACTGTGACATTGTGATTGTTGTGAAAATACATATTCATTGATTACTGTGTAACAAGTAAATACTGTATTGTTGCTGCCATGCAGTGCAGCGATACTTGACTGCCTCCACCGTGACATCATTGTAATTGTAAGCATAGATGCAACGTATGCTTAGAAGGCATCATACAGGCTAATTGAATGTTAGTCATTTAATGATATGCTCGTATTCCCATTGCTTACTCCAAAAGCACAGTGTTTTATAAATTTGAGAATTCCCTATATCTGCATCTTTTAAACATGATCTAATGATACTAAATATTTTTGTTCCAGTAACAATTTTATTTTTAGATATTGATACACATTTCCCAAGTTAGCTACCTTGAAATTTTTCAGGTTCTGAGATTTCTTAATACAGTTTCTGAACCCTGCCCTTCCAGGAAATTTATATTATTTGATGATGCTATATGTAAATATTCCATTGTTCTTCCAGGAATTTCCAAAGAGAGATTATAGTGGGTAAAAGATTCTGGTGGAAAATCTTTTTTGCTGGCATATAAGGTGTAGTCCATTTTAGGACCATATTGTCTAATCTGGGGAATTATCCCCCAGCCTCATCCTTCAAAAAGAAACTTGAAAGAAGTTTGACTTCCGGCTTGACTGGCTTAACCTCTTTGCTGTTTAAAATTTACTAATTTTGGCAGTCAAGAGAATGACAGATAGGGCTTCGGGGTGAATAATAGACCAGGAAGAGTATTCTCAACAAGCTTGATGGTAGCTGCCGTTTTCAACACTGATGTCAAAAAACAAATACTGTTGAGGTTATGTCCTTTACTGTATCTTAATCTATAGTGTGGGAGAAATACATTGAGTTTGGACTATAAAATAATTCTGGTTATAATGTTTTAGGAACTAACATCTGTAGCTTGTTCCTTTGAATTTTTTATGTAGAACTGTTTCATGTGATTTAATCTACATAACTATTATCACTGTTCACAGCATTTTCTATTTTAATTCCTATATTTGCCCAGCCAGTAATTGTGATAATCAGGAGTTGTTGGGATGTTTTATACTCCTAGACAGAGAAGAAAAGGTGGATTTACTAATGAAATAACTGCAATTTAATTTGAGATGTGACATTAAGTATTTAAGGATATTACTATAAACTAAGGAAAGGATGTGAAATTGCTGTTTATATTATTGCATGTTCCCTAAAACACCTTTGTATAATTTTAAGCAACACTTAAATTTACTCTTTCATAGAGCACTGGAAAGGACTTGTGTGATTCACTGTTATCTTTTCTGACTGTTTTTCTTCTCCCTTTTATTTTCTCCAGCTTTGAAAAAGGAGATGCCCTTGTTGTAAAATAAGGCATCACTTCTCAGCTTTCATATTCTAATATATTAATTAGACCTTATTTACCCCAAATTTATAGACTAATTAGAGATTTGGGAAGTGTGGGGATTGAATATTTTTTCTTTAAAATAATATTGATAAAATATTGATTTAATTTTCTAACTTTACACAAATTAAAAAATCCTTTTCCTCATTTTAAAAATCATAAAATAGGAAGCTATTGGCACTTAATCACAACATCTTAAATTTTCTTATGTTTTTAAAACATTAGACTTTTTCTACTTTTAAGACAAAATGCTCTGTCATTTTTAAATGTAAAATCTTGATGAAATAATATAAAATATCAAACTTGCAAAGTATCTTCAAGCTTTCAAACTTGTGTAATCTTATATTTGGATATAATATTCGACTGTATTTTTAGTAAGCTGGAGATAAACATTCCTAAAGAAGGTCTGGAAGTAAAAAGTGTTTATTTGCTTAATGACTTAGAAAGTGTCATGATTTCTGTAAGATATGATTAAAGAGGAGAGGGGGTGATAAAAAAGATCATTTTACTTCATTGTATGTTTTATCATAAAATAATATGATTGCTTATTTACCTCATTACTTACCTGTCAAACATTTTAGTGGACTATAGGGAAAAAATACTTCTATTTTAATTGGGAACTATAACTGTGAAATCTGTGTTGCTTTGAAATTACATAAAATTATTAATGGGTAACTGATTTTAAAGAAACGTATTAAGAGCTAGCTTTGGTTGAATATATTATGTCAAAATATCCTGTTGTGGTTGGTTGGTTAAACATAAATTTTTGGTGGAGACATGACTACAAACTTATTCAAACTTACTCTCGTTTAAAATATAGCTAGAACCTAAGTATGTCAATTGAGGTATATTAAAACACCTTATACAGAAGTATTTTGGGGAAATGTGAGGTTTTGTCATGCTCAAATCAAA